TTATTCAGGTGCGAATTACTCTCGCTATTGCACTTAACTAATTGGTCCATTAAATTATACGTTACGTTTTAATCAGAGGATATCACGCCGCCCGTATTCAAATAATATATATCTCCGCCCCGTCGGCCGACGTGCAAATTCGTATTCACTGCGAATCGCAAGATAATTTGTTCCTATCACCGGCCCTTTAATCATGGTAATAAGTAGCATATCGAGGATAAAAATCGCCCGGCTCATAACCGATGCTTTATGACTCCGGAAGCCGCTTTTTAAAGCCCTCGAGGAGGCGTTCCTAATCGCGACTGATGGGGAGGCGAACAGATAGGGGGAAGGGAAGGAATAAAGATCTGAGCTTCATAATTGGCGTTTGATCGCCGACTTATGAGAACGCTCCATGCCAAACTGTCGCTGCCTCATAATCAATCAAAGCCGGCGTGATTAATAGCCGAAAGATAATGAAAAATGATCGGCCTAAGGCGACGCGCGCGCGCGCGCGCGCGAATCACCGTTATTCACTTGCTTCGAGATTGTCGCTTTTCCGAACGTTACCACTAATGAGCGCGATCGTTCGACTGTAATGCAGTTGAATGAAGGCACATCGAAATATTCCACGTAACCGTTCCGTACACTGAGAAGAATTTCCATCGGATAAACAAATCGAATAGTGTTTCCGGTGGTTAATTTTTCCGAATAAATACTAGGTATTTATTTATCCGATGTTATTGATGAAATTTGATTGAAAAACCGATCGTATTTTTCATCGAATGTACAATTTAATCGGATATATCTGTTACGTAATTGGATTATCCGATTATATTTCATCGGACATTTTTCTCAGTGTAGGAATGGATAGCCAGCTATTGTTTTTTAACCCTTTAACTACCGGCATTTTCCCCCCAACATTTATGTATACAGGGTGAGTCGTAAAGACTGACCCAACCTTTTACCATAAGAGATGAATTACCGACTGCAACTGTAGCCAACTCGGGAAAAAATTGATAAATATCTAATTATTTCTCGAGAAATGTAATTAGGTATTACATGATCGAGACATGTCGAACGAGATTTTATCACCTCTGTGAAGTTGGCATCTCATGTCTCAAAAAATATTTTTTTTTTCAGTTCTGAATGCACCCCGAAGAGTTCTAGAGTTCCTTATCAATTTTAAAAATAGTTCTGGCGAATTAACCTAAAAAATCCCCAAGTTTCAAATTTAACTTTTTTAGGTTAATTCGCCAGAACTATTTTTAAAATTGATAAGGAACTCTAGAACTCTTCGGGGTGCATTCAGAACTAAGAAAAAAGGTTTTTTGAGACATGAAGTGCCAACTTCACACAGGTGATTTTATCCATTTTTTTCCCGAGTTGGCTACAGTTGCGGTCGGTAATTCACCTCTTATAATAAAAGATTGGGACAGCCTTTACGACTCACCCTGTATGAATAATATGCCACAAAAGTGGCTTTTCCGGCAGCCTAAAGGTCGAACGACGGTTAAAAAATTCTATCCGCCTGGCAATTCGTTCCGGTATCGCTGCTCCTCGATTTGGCAGTACGAATGTTCCCTATAATTCCTTCCGAGACGCTGAACAAACAGAGGAAAGGAAACCTGAATGTCAGGTGCGACGCGTTAGGTCCATCGAACCTGCAGCGACCGCTCGTCGTCCTCTTGATTGCTCCGTTTCGCGGGCACTTCTTAATTCGCCAAACGTGTGCTCGTGCGTTCGCCAGCGTGCTCCGTATCTAGTATTTAATTCAGGTGTCACCTGTGTACTTAAGCACGCGCGCTTAAGGCTCACACGCCGCGTCGCGCCGCCGCAACGCTACGAGCTAAATCAAACAACGCCGCAAATTGCAAATGGGAACTAATTGCTTTCGCGCTTTACTTACAACCGCAGTAACGTTTTAACAAGCTTCGACGCAGAGGCGACACGGGCCCTGCATCGAGAGAGGACACCGTCCCGGACTTCTCTCCCCTCTCACCCTCTCTCTCTCGCTCGCTGCCTCTATAAACGGGAGGAAATTTAATGCGCATGAAGGGCGCAAGAACGCAACGCACAGAGAATTTCCAATTAGCATCGCTGACAAAAGTGAAACTCAATGATGCGCGCTCGCACACGCCCGATGTCGATTGCATAGTAACGAGGGAAAATCGGTAATTAGATTGCGAGAGGATTGCGGCCGAGCGGGCGCACGCGACATTCGCGTCGACGCGAGTCGACAGAGAGTCACATAATTATTTTAATGCGCATAATTTGCGGGAGACACGGCAAAAGCTGTCGCCGCTGGGCGCTTTGATTACTATACGCGATCAAAGGACACACCGTCCGTATGAAGATACCGATTCAATTTGGTAGCCGCGTCTACGAGTCTACATCGCGCGCTTACACATTTATTATGCACAGCGGGATTTTAATTTATATTTATGTTGCATTTCATTGACGTCGGAGCCTTTTCCGAGCAACAGTGCGCCCTAAAAGTCATTTTAACGTGGGCACGGGAGTTGAGGGTCCGCGAAAAATGAAATTTTACGTGGCTCTCTACCCGTGAAAGAAATACGTCGAAAGTTAATTGCGCGCATTCCATTGATTATCTCCTCTTTCTGACCCCGTCGCGCTGAGTTTGTCAAACTTTTGGCAGTATTGTTCGTAATAAATTCTTTACAGTTCGTTTCTAAAAAACGTTGATTTAGCATTATTATTGAATTGGTTATCAACTTAATTAGGTGTACTATAATATTTCGAGGTCAAAGTGCACTTCAAGATCGAAAGTTATTGGTACGCAGTTTGCTGCGCTGAAGAAGGATAATGTGTACGCAAAAATATTTTGTTATTGAAATAATTCGAAGCTTCGAAGTTCGAATGTCGAAGCCTTCGAAGAAAATCATCGGCCCTATCGGAAACACTACTTAATTGGTTTATCCGGTGAAAATTTTTCTCAGCGTGAAAACAGCATAAATAGGTACTGTTTTCAGTACTGATGCACTGATTGACTTTTAGAGAGCTATCGTTGAACATTAGCGAGGTGTAAGATCCCCTTTGCGGAGGAGACTGGGATCTTACACATCGAGCAGAGCGAACGTTTCTTATTTTGATAAGAACGTGAACGGGCGCCTGAGACGAACGCGACACGCCCAACGATTCTTCTTCCGGTTCGGTCTTCGGTGAAGAACGTTAATTGTTTGATTCCCGTCCTCTTAACGATTTCGCAACGCGAGATTCGCGGAGGTCCGTCCCTGGGGGGGTGCGTTGATAAAGCGGTGGATGCACCGTATTATACGGAGCATCGACGCTTTCATGACGCCACGACGTTGTTTGTGGAACGGCATTTGTGCGTACGAGAGAATGTGTGTGTGCGTGTGTGTGTGCGTACGCCAGCTATCGTCGGTGTGTTTGCCTTGATGATACAATTGTGTATGTACAGAACGGCGAGTACCGAGAGGCTCTGTTCATCCCAGGCCGGGCCCAGGCACGGCACTCGTGTTGCTCTGCTGCTCGGTCGGCGACGTGCATAGGCCGCGCCAGATATCTGTGTTTGTACATCCGGAATATGCGCTCGCGACAGCCGATCGTTGCGCTACCGATTTGTGATGGAATTACCAGGGAGAACCCGATGGACCACCTCGTGGAATGATAATATCGCGAGGATAGAACGGACCGCGTCCGCTCAAACGACATCTGCGAAAGTGCGAGCACTTTGCTTTCGGTATTAAATGATTTATAATAGATACAATTGATGCTTTTATTAACTTCTTGGAAATTATTTAGATAAGAAAACACGTTTCTTTCTCGTATAGTTTTCAAATTTCTACACGTCTCGAAAGAATTCCGATGGTTCGATTTAAAATGTAGGAACTCGAAAATCTCAGAAGTTCCAACCTCGCGTTTTTACGAAAATCGAATTAACGGTTTTATCTCGATATTTTAGAGACAAAAAATTCCAAAGCAACATTTTTATTTAGTTAATATTTAAATTATTAGCCGTTAATTGGAGAAAGAATCTCTCGTGTGTAGCATTTATTTGTCTGTTGATCGTGAGAAAGTTAGAAAATTATTAAATTAACTATCTATTTAATTAGGATACGTTATACCCTCCTCAATTATTCGTAACTTTTATACAGGATAATGAATAGTTCTTTGTGTTATTGAAGTAATGCATTTTCCAATATCACGTATTTTCCTCCTCGCATTGTCGTGCTTTAAGCGGCGCTAAAGATAAATATCGCAATAGCATCGGTATACTGATTCGAGAGCGGGGGTGGCGGTTTTAAGAACAGGCTCCCTGAAATAAGGAAGCAAATGGAGTTGGCGGAAAGTATTAATGCGAGGTATGGAAGTAAGATAAGTGAGCCGTGGCGGCCGTTACGCGCCACGGCCGCCAGATATATCCGGGATCGCGAAACTAATTCCAGCCTCTAATGGTTCTGCCAATAGCAATTTCTATAAGACTGAATAGTGATTCTCAGATATTAAGAGAGAGCGAGAAACTTTCCTTCGACCCTTTCCGCACGGAAGGGATCCTGCTCCCGTGCAATTTCCGTCCCCTCCCCCCACACACTCTCTCTCTCTCTCTCCCCCTCACGCCCTCTCCTCTGTTCCTGTTCCGTTCTTCCACCTATTCCTGACCTTAGGTATAGACGCATTAAACACCTAATGGGCTCTTTTTTTCGTCGCGTCGGTAGAGAAAAGAACTGCAATGATTGATTTTCGTCTAACTAACGGCGAAACTTTTTATCTCGTACAGACGCCGCGAAGAACAATTCAATTTAAAGCAAATGGAAACCTCTCCGCCGTTTATAAAAGTCTGTCTTCATTAATCGCTGTGGATACCGCTCAGATTATTGAGCATTGTAAGAAGTGCCTACTTCTCCGCACGATGAGAATTGTTTAATACCGTGAAAGTTACAAATATGGAGGAGAGAGGGGAAGAGAGAGAGAGGGAGGGAGAGACAGGGAGAGACAAAGAGAGACAGAAAGAGACAGGGAGAGACAAGGAGACAGGGAGAGACAGGGAAAGACAGGGAGAAAGAGGGAGAGATAGGGAGAATAGCGATGTCTGATTATTTAATTTTTAGACCGGTCGATAAATATGTTTACACGGTCGTATCGGTCGTTCCTACGTGCAGTCACTAAAATTTTACTGTCGTTTACACAGTGCACACAGATAAATGCAGGTGTATCTTATCGCTCGTCTAATCTCACTCAAAGTTCACCGAGCCGCAAGTTTCAACACCTCGTCGCAATTTATAGATGTGTCTCCTTTACGAATTTTCTAATATATGCGAGATTATTTCACCTGACGATTTAGCTAAAATATGGTGCGATACAGGAGACATCGCGCTGTAAAATCCTATTCAGTTTGAAATATGCAATGTACTATATATTTTAAACTAGAACAATGCGCGTGAAATACGAGCGGATCTTGATTATTTCTTCTTATCCGGTGGCGTTTATGTATCTGCGAATATACTTCTTTTCCCGTAAAGATACAAACTACCCGGGCAGTCATCGTGGCATCGACAAATCGATACGGCGCGGTCTACTTCCGGCGAGTCTCGAGATACGGCATAAACTATCGCTTCTATCGCGGGCATCAAACGTCGCGGGCAATTTCGACGCGGTTGCCCAAAAATTCGTTCGCTCGTGCATCCTGAAAGGTCATCTCCTTCGAACTTCCGCCCGCGATTTTCAATTTCCTCCATCCTGTCGATCTCCGATAAGAGCGAGCGTCGGTGGGTCCGATAGAGATTTTCGGCGAGGTCTCTTATAGCGCGGAATTATCTTTCTTTAAGACGCACAATTTACGAGAGGCAATATGCTCTTTCGGTATCCAATAGGGGATTCTCCTGCCGTGGCACCGCGGCTCGAACCGGAAGCGCCGATTCTTCGCCCTTCGCTTCAATCGTTCAGCTCCTTTTGTATTTGCACAAAGGTCTTGCCTTTCGTCTCGGGCGAGAGGCGAAGGATCAGAGTGGTGCATACCGTCACGATCACGAAGAATGCTAGGTAAGGTACCGCGTGGCCGTAGTTCCACGTGACGACTACCAGAATGTAAATCTTCGCTGCTATCACGTTGTAGCAGCCGCTTGTGGTGGCCAGAAGGCACGTGGCGAGTGCCTTGACTTCGGTGGCGAACATCTCGGACATCATGATCATCTGCATGGGCAGCAGGCCACAGTTGAAGGCGAACACCAGCAGCACCGCCGCGATTAGCAGCGCCGACGAGTACGCGGACACGTCCGCGCTCAGATAGTCCTTCGCGTAGAAGAAGACGCCGATCGCGAGGTTCGACGCGGCGGCGAGCAGGCCGGAGAAGAGTATCAGCGGCTTGCGGCCCAGTTTGTCGACCAGGAAGATGGTGAGCGTCGCGGAGATCACCTGTACCACGCCGAGCATGATGTTGGCCGTGTGGTCGGAGATGATCTGGAACTGGGCGGCTTTGAAGAGGAGCTGACCGTACGCGATGAGCATGAAGAAGCCGCCCAGCTGTTGGGTGAGGGTGATGAGATTAATGATGATGAAGGCGCGACGACTGGCGCGCGCGGTTAACAGCTGCCTAATACCGCTGGCCCTCTGCTGCTTCTCGTTGGACGTCGATTCGACGATCGCCTCCAATTCTTCCGAGACGTCCGTCTTGCCACGCAGCCTCTCCAGCGCCACCTCCGCCTCGTCCGTTTTCCCCGTCATGGTCAGATAGTACGGCGACTCCGGCATGAACCAGAAGGCGATCGTGGAGCCGACGGACACGGCCAGCCAGACGGCCGCCGCCGTCGATATCGACAGGTACGGCACGACGACGTACATCCCGAGAATGCCGAGATTTAACGTAATCGTGCTCGCGGCCCCTCCGGCGCCTCGTGTCCTCGGCGACGCAATTTCTCCGATGTACATCGTGAACACACACATGAATTGGCCCATGCACAGGCCGCCCATAAATTTGGCCACGTAGAGAACCTGCGATAGAGGCACTTTTACTAATGCGCCACTGGACCCTACTAATACTTTTTCAGATTTCGTGAATTGCAAAACGGATTACAATAATGTTATGGAAACGAACTTAAAAACCGGTTAAATTAATGTCGACAGATTACATTTATTAAAAAAATGTATAATTGTACTTCTGTCAAAAAATATAATTGTATAAACTTCCCCTCTGTGTGACGTGAAAAGACATCTCTAAATAGACTCTTTATACGCAAGTGAAAAGAATTTAAACGCAGGGCTCTCGAAATTGAAGACAAACTAACAATAAGCCAGGGAATAGGCGTTGAGAATCGCCTCGCGAAGGTACTTTTGCTCACCCAGATATTCGTGGCGATCGTAATGAGGCCCCAACAGATTATCGACGTAAGCCCACTGAACAGAATCGTCTTTCTCCGACCTATCCTGTCGACCAGGAGTTGGTTGATTATCGGTCCTACCATGTGACCAACAGAGGCCATGGCCACGAGAGTGGAAACATCGGAAACGGTAGCCGGGATCGGCGAGTCTGGGGCCATCAACTTCACAATACTCGGCGAGTCCCAGCCTACGGTCGCTCCGATGCACAAGCTTATAATTGAACCTAGATTTCGCATAATTGCACCACGCATAATCGAGACGTAATTAGGCCGATCGGGGGCGAGAGATCGCCGGTGGCGGTAATAATCAGCGGAAACAATGAAGAATTATCGCCAAGGCAACGGTGGTAAACGACTGTTTCGCGCGGAGATTAGAACAGAAATCACCCTTACAATTAAAAGCGGTCAGATACTCCCACGTCCTCGAGCCCTCCGGCGTCGCGTATCTTCCCCTCTTGGCGTCGGCGCTCATCGCGACGGAATCACGTCGAAATCCTCGGGAAAGCGAACACCTTGCGCGATCCTACGACCTCGCCGGAACACGGGAGCGCGATGGAATAGAAACCATTTTGTACTTCTATGCGTGCTTTAACACACGAGATAACACAATAAGTGGTAAATGTGATTTGTGAGATTATGGCACACAAGTGATTTATATCTAAAAATTAATTATCGGTGAATTATCACTGAAAACAGTGAATAGTCGCTCATTTACAGTTGTAAGTATACAGGCCTTTTCAGAAAGAATAAATCACTTTTTCAATGTAACTTATGATATCTCAATAACTGTTTGTTGGAGGAAAAAGTAGTACAGGACTTTTTTACTTGATTTACTTGGTTTCAGGAATATGCTGTTGCAATAGTGCTCCAATTATTGAAAATTTTTGTGTATGTTATTGTACGATATACAAAAATGTTCCACTTCGAACCAAACAACTTTTGTTTGAAACTTTTTTCCGTATCATATTTTTGAAGATATTTGCGTGGATCATTTAAAATGAGACACCCTGTATTACTGCGATTTTCAATGGCGTACTTACAACTGCAAATCAGTAACTATTTGTTTCCAGTGATTATCCACTGATTGACTTTTAGAGAGTGTATTTTTCATTTCGTATTTTCTTTGGAGCATAATGTTTAGTGTTTGTACAATGTTCTCTCTTGAGAAATTATGTTCAATGTCCATTCACGATATCCACGCTTGTGGTGTATCCGCTATCCGCTTGTCATATATTTGATATGATGTCTATTCATATTTTAATATAGGTTTTATATGTGCGCACGTATTCTGATTCCGCAAATATTTTACGCGACACGTAAAATAATAAATAGAATTCTATTTCGATACAAATTTCAGATTTCGTTTAAAGCGAGCATTGTTTCACTGACAATGAAATTTCAGTAGCGCGTGTCATTAATTTTTGTAACACGATAAAAAGTTCAGCGACAAGCTTTAGCGAACATGTGAAATTTAAGTTACTCGCCCCGATTTCTGTTAAGCATTAGTTAAGTTAACAGAGTCAACTACTGACAAAGCCCAATATCCGCAGTTCGCGAAGCCGAAATAGAAAAAGAAATGAAAGTCATGCGACATCGGAAAATCAATACAATCCGTGTAAAATATAATATAAACGACCAGCTATATCTTTTTACTACATTTCAGATATATTTGAAAAACGTATCTGTCAAAAATGCACTCTACAAAAACTCGATATTGATATAATTCGATATAAAATAATATTAAATTAATACCTCTACCCAAATGGCAGAAATAAATTATTGAATTTTTATTTTCTACGTTACTTTATATGTCATGTATCATTTAACATATCTTTTATTTTTAATTTACTTTAATTCGTCTATGTCTTTTAATAAATATATTTACATACATGACGAAATACCAGATTCATTTTTGTAATGAAAATTCTCAGAACATCTTACTTGATAAATAATCGAATGAAATAATCTCAAAATATCTCTTGATTTTTTATTTTTCAATTTTACTGCAATTAGTTCTATCGAATTAACGAATGTAGAGATTAGACTTGCCCAACTAGCAGATAGTGTGTATTATTTATCTAATAGATTACATCCAACATTTCGACCATCCGGATTGCGGTCATTTTCAAGGATTACAAAAAGTCAAGACACATCTATAACATCAGGAGAACACATTTTGTAGTTTAACAGATTACGTGCAAAAAGAAGAAAGAAAAAGAAATGTTGTAGATACCCAACAAAGCCAATCAAGTCAAATTATAAATTTGAACAAGTGTCCACCGCTAGACATCGGTTGCCAAACAGGTTTTAAGCTTGATACACGAGGAAGAAGAAGAAGAAGATTTTTAAAAACGTAGTAAGTAGCGTTAGGTGTTCATTATTACACTATGTCACTTCGATTCTCTGTGTCTCTTTGCAAATGTAACGTATTGTCAAATCTTTTTATGTAAAACATCTCCGCCATCTTCCTCTTACGCAGGCGTTTCTCTTTATCGAATTAAATTCGCACACTGCTATACTTAAATGTATATCTGAGACAAAGAAAGTCAATTTTAACCTGCGTATTCCGAAACTGTATCGCCGGGGTTTGAAAGCTATTTTTTTAATTCTGCATAATAACCTGCCTACAGATTCAAACCATTTGACCCAGTCTATATGTTCACACTATATTGACGAATATCTTTTGATAGAATTTCTCTCGTAATGCAGAAATGATGAATAAACGATAAACCTCTGCTCAATGACACCATTCATCTCAGTCATGAAAGAATAAATAATCAATGACTATAGAGACAGAATTCATTTCACACTCATCTCCGCGAAACGGGAATATAACGCAGCGATTGAGTTCTAGTTGCATAGCTGTTAATATATCATTCCACTTTTAACGGGATCACATTAATTTCTACGATAATTATCCCAGTTTTAATAATTAAACTCGATTCGATCTTCGAATCCGAGCAGGAAATATTCGCCGTCAATGATATTAATTAATCAAGCGTTGATTCAGCGCCCGGGCACTGAAGCTCTTATCCTTTCACGTCGAAACTGTTCACTTCTTCGCTATGCATTGACTAAAACAGACGTTCAAGATACATACGCGGAACACCGTACTTCCGGATTGGAAAGTAATCCGGAAATGTACGGTTACATTTTTAAAAAGCAAAACGCCCGAAAACTGAAAAGTAATCGAAAACCGGCAGGGATTTTGTAATTCCATTCGCATTTTTATATTGCAATATGCACGACCGCCGCTATTAGCTGATCACAGCATCGCGCCGCGCGCCCCGTCGGTAGCGAACGATTACTCCCGGTAAAGCAATTTTACATACTTCTCTGTAAATGCGCCGCCTGCACTGATTCAACGTTTTCGTTAGAGAAAAAACATCGATCTGATACCGCGCTACCATTGTTTGCACGGGCCAGCCTCTGTTTTTAACGCGGACACGCTGTTAGCAGAACAAATATTTTCGCGCACGTTGTACATGAAACTGATGCGCCCTGTTTGCGACATCGCGTTCGCCGCGAGTTCTTCTCTTCTTCTCCCGATGACGTACTCCTCTTCGTCTTTGATAAGCGCGGAACGTCACACAAGTGGTTTAACAATCGCAGAAACCCGGTAAAGGACTCGCGCAGCTGCATCGTAGACAACGGTTTAGTCTTATATTCTATAAGAAGGCATTTCATAAGCTCCGAAGCTCTTTCTTCTTATCTGTTTAAAGATTACGAAACATTTTTGCAGAATATATTTCTGTCTCTGTCTCGGATCGACAACTGCGGTGCTATTTTTCGGCTGCCTGTTAATTACTGCTTCGTACATAATTACATGTTACATGTAATTATATATAATTACCTACGAGCTCTACACATATAGACACTCGAGGGAGATAAGAAAATTGCAGTTGAGTAAGCTTATAAGCTTCTTTACAATTCAAAATACCTGGACATATGGTATATCCGGGTTCTCAACGTTTAGTGGATCGAGTCGATCCGTAGCGACTCTCTGTCGATTCAAACCGTTCGCCGGCTCGCTTGTTATAGGCCCGGTATTTCATTTTCTGGTTAACAGTTAACCAGAATTATTGCGGGATGATTTTTAATTGCGAGAAAATCTAACGCGTTATGCATTTATACCTTTGCTCAACATCGCTCATAATTTTAAATAATTTCTAATGTTTCTTTCCGTTTCTCCGTGTGTGTTTCTCTCTCACTTTAATTTCAATCAAACTCGTTTTATTATATTTTTTTTTAATTTTAACTAATAACTTTGAGGTAGATATGATATCGCCAGCAATTCAAAACAATGATGAGTATTTTACAAAAACGACCTACACTGGCCAATGCCTTTATTTAAAATAAAAACGACGTTTTGGTCCTGGATTTGGACCCTTTTCAAGTGATCTACTACTTAATTATCCCTGATCTCGTATCGTTCGTTTGGCCAATATCTCTATGTTAGTAGAGTATTAGTCAAAGGAATAAGAGGGATAATTAAGTAACAGATCACTTGAAAAGGGTCCAAATCCAGGACCGAAACGTCGTTTTTATTTTAAATAAAGGCATTGGCCAGTGTAGGTCGTTTTTGTAAAATACTCATCATTGTTTCAACTAATAGTCTATTTATTTTAATTTACGACCTTCATTTATCTATGACTTATGTCCTGTGAATTTTATTTTTAAAAAGTATCACTGACATACATAGCACTCGGATAAAAATATCCGACTAAATCGAAATTTATTTTTCTGTGTCAAGTGGTAATCTATTTTAATACTTTTATGGATTTTTCTCATCGCACTACCATTTTTGTTTGATTCGTATTGGCTGCCGTTTATCTCTGTTCTTGCATGGTTTATTAATCAATCTTTTTCTACATTTCTCTTTATATACCTCTTGCTTTCAATTTATCTCACGCATGATGTTTTAATTAATATGATTCTTAATAACTCGTACAAAGAAAACGCAATGCAGTTTAATCACTAATCCGGCACTGTCGCCGACTTCCGCTATCCCTTGTTTAAAGCAAACGTGGTTGCAAACAGACAAGCATCTGTTTAAAATTGTTTTCCTAAACAGTAAATTTTTCTACCAAACACCAGACAGTAGTGTGCACTACATAATTACAATACGTATTTTTTTACTTAATATAATAAGTTTTGTTAAGGTTTTATCGCGCAGCAGTGACAGTACTCGATGAGAGAACACACAGCTTTTATTGTGGTCACAAAAGAACAGAGTAACTAACTTATAATCTGCTTAATACTGAATATGTGACGAACTTAATATGACTTTGAACAATACTGAATGACGTACGTACGTATGACCGAATGTGGCCAGGGAACTAAACGGACTGAAAGAAGAAGGGCAGCGGCACACATGTATTTTTACGCCAGTGTTCATGCGCCTACACAGAGACTCGAGAAACAACAGTCCTAACAAGTTTAATTATGTAATATAACGATTTAGTTAATATGGCGATTATTTACCTTCTATATTTCTTACACTCAAATAGTCCGGCTGATCCATTAATCTGGTTTTTAATAGTACCGAATTAACGAGATTATATTGTAATTCCGGTAATTATAACATATTTGGCAATTCCGAAATTTAATTATTCTTAACCAGTTTTGTGAAATCACACAAAAAGTGAGAGAGTAAAAGTAAGTAATATTGAAAACTATCGCGGTAATAAATATAATTGTAACTGCGGCAACAATATTGCAATTATTAATCGAACAATTGTTTGCTGATATAATTGGATGTTATTGTTATCTCATTAGTTGTACGTAAATATTATATGGCAGTAAAATAACTACCATATGTATGAATAAACTAACTATCATATAATATTATATATAGCTAAATTCGATAGATTGTAACAATTATATTCATTCGGTTTAGACATTAAAAAAAAGTCATTATGTCATATAACATATCTACATATTTCTTATAATTGAGTAATATATTTTTAGTAAGATAATTTTATTTTTCTTAGGCAACCGATTAAGTTTTCTTACCGCAACTTATTAATACGTAGTTCACACGTTATTTCTCTTGAGTATTCTAATTGTGTTTTGGGGCATTTTCTCTAAAGATATATAATATATAAGGAGTCAGTATAATTGAAAAAAGAAAAAGATTATGTAATCGTTTAAGAATCCTGCAGAATTTTTCTCTACTTTGGTGAAAGTGGACAGTCTCGAGGCCCAAGGGGAATTTTCAGTATCGATTGTTCTTACACTACACGACTTGCCGCAAGAATGTATCTGTAGCGATAGCGTTACATCTGAGAAGAACCCGAGAGGGATAAACGTCGCGCGGAGGGTGGGACGTCCCGAATCCCATCACTTTAGCGCGGGGGATGCCGCTACGTCGTCCCCGAAACAACCTGCAACGGGAATCGATTGGTCGGCCTTCCGGACAGCGACCGGTGAGACAGGCTCCCGCTGCATTGATATTCAGCTGGGGTCCTCGTCTCTTCGAACCGTCAAGAAATTTTACCCGGGGCATTGCAACACGCGCGTCCCCCGTGGAATCGCTAAGTTCCCGGCCGTCGACGACGCCGGCGGTTCGGGTATCGAATAATTATACAAGTCGAGTAAGTAGCCTGGCGCCGTGACAAGCGTGACGAGCTTCGGAATTCGTTATCCGCCGTCGTCGTCGCAATGGAGAATCCTTCGAAGGGTCCTTTCTTATCCCGCGACGGAGCTCTATCGATTCGTTCCCTCTCGTCGCTAATTGCATCCGTCGCGAAACGCTCGCAAGGAGGGGTCGAGAAACGTGGCGTTACGATATTATTTCGATTTTATCGCGATATTACACCGCGCGAATTTATCTTTGTGTTATTGCCTCGAATTTATTTCGGTATTATTATCTGAACTGACCCCGATATCTGTTTCGGAAAGAGCTCGCATTTCCCCCCCCCCTCCCCCCTTCTAGTTTATAAATCTATAATCGATTATTTGAAAAAAAAAATCGCACACGCAATTTCGACGATAGTAAAGCCGATCGAGTGGTCGATTTTTCTATTTTGCACCGGCGAAATCCACATCTATAACATATATCTATATCGATATACGTTTCAGGCCAACAATCAAAGAGCAGAACGGGCTTTGCAGCGGAATGGCTTTGATCGTTCTATTAAATATCCCTTGTCTATTGAATAAATCCATATGTGGGCGCGATAGATATTTCTATTCGCCGATGAAAACAATTGTTGATATTCCGGTCCACTTGTGATATCCCCCGCCGATCTGGCAAAACCGATGCATTCAGGTATTAAACTGAAATATCAAATCAACAGCAGAATAACCGTGTACCTCCGCGCGATTTTATAAATCTGGGTCGACCTGCAGACACGTCCCTCCACAAAAGAGGAAACTGTTGCGCGGCAAGTCCCGAACGACACGCGTGCGACAAAGCCTCGTGATAGAAATGTCTATCGATCCTCCCGGATGCGTGCAAGCCCGATCGATCTTCATCGTCGATTAGAAAAAAAGAAGTACTTTTCTTAAAAACTAATCAGAATTTTTCAATGTCGCCAGCGGTGATTAACAACGTCAGTGTTTTCTTGACCACACCTGGCATCTTTAATAATACAGAAAATTTATTGCGAAAAATGTTACCTTGCGATATTACAAATATTATCATATGCCTCAGTGATCGAATTGATGAGACGCCCGCCTAGAGTGTAGGGAGGTCCAGGTTCAAACCCTGGCTGAGGTAATATTTTTCGCAATAAATTTTCTGTATTATTAAAGATGCCAGGTCTTTTCTTAAAAATTATCGGACATTCGATTCGTTCGCCGTCCCTGCATATCGAGCTGCGCCACTGCGGACTTATACGTACATTAATTATGTGGCGATGTGAAAGCAATTACCGGTAGAAATCAATCTGTCCACGTTGCTTCGTCAATTTTCGCTAATCCGATTAATATATCGGCTCTGAAACTGCCGGGCATTCAGCTAGTGTAAATTAAATTATTTATCGGGTATTATATTGCTGAATGAGAATTTGAGCGTCGCCTAGTCGCGCTTAATGACGAAATCGTGTCCGTTACGCAACTCTTACGATGAATATCGCGAGAACAGAGATACCGATAACAGAGCGCGCTGAAAAATATCGATGCGAATATTTATCTGCATATTTATCTGCCATGGGATATTAATAAAGAAAATGCAAGGTGGTAGGAGGCGCGCGGGGACGGAATCGACGAAAAGTTAATAGAATGTGAAACGTTCGCGAGTCGTAAGGAAATCTCGATTGGCACTTGAAGCTTCGAAGGCGGACGCGGCTTGTGATATTAAATTAGAATATTCTCAACGTGTATACGTATATACACTCGACGTGCACAGGTATATACTCGCGTAAGGCGCCTTCCTTCGTGGAGATGCGAGTGCATCCACCCGCCTTGAATATCAATTCCTTTCCCGGTCTCTCGTAAAAGGAGAATCTATATTCACGCGTCCACACACACTTGAGGATTGTGTTACAGTGCGTCGCGTTGAGT